GTATATGTTAGTGCATTCATTATTCGTATTACAAAAGAGTTAACGGATTACATTCATTCATCACTAATAATACATGACATAGATTAATCGATATAGGTCGAGACGTTTTGTTTTTACTATTAATAGATATAGGTCAAACGTTTTGTTTTTAATATTCAATGATGTATCTGAATAAGTTATAAGTCGATGAATCAATTTACAAACAGATATATTTGATGATAAATTATATATACTAATTAGTATCTTCACAAGTCTATCAATCCCTAAAAGAACCCAAAGTTTCTAAATGCCACTGGGTCGGGTTCTTTTAGGAAAATTTTTGGTCGGTATTTACCGGATTTTTAGTAGAGTAAAATGAAAAATAGTTGAGATGCCAACGTAGTTTGGAATTTCCAAACATCTAGTTTCTTTGGAAGAAGTAAGAATAGTTCTAGAGCTCACAAATCCGACAGTTGAACAAAAACAAATATGCTGGCCTCCACCTGACAAGTGATAAGGGTGAGCATTTTTCGGTTATATCCTAAAAACATTGCTCAAACCTAATTTTATGGTTTCCTCAGTTTCGAGTTTTTGATCAATCATAATATCGATATTTTCATCCAATTTTTAATTTCTTAAAAGAGAACGTCCGTTAAACTGAAAAACAGAAATTTGCCTATATACCACATAAGAGTGCACTTTTTAATTTCCTTATATATATNGGTTATCGACATGAGATGAGAGTATCATCTATGATGGGCATATATTGCATCAACATAAGCCTATGGAATCTAAATCATAATTTTTTTGGTTGAGGTTTGAATAAATTATTTATATATATTAAATAAAGTTTTTAACAAATAGAATTTGAGCCAAAATTAATGGATTTTGCGAACCTATAACTATATTGGTGCCTCCGCGCAGCCAAGTGATGAGGATTATGGGAGGGAAAAAGTAAATTGTCATCTGCTAGCTCATGTTTTGTCATTCGCATTACCCAAAAAGCAGCTAACTGAAGTGTGATTCGTCGGCCTAAATCGACTGTGAAGCAAAAAAATTTAGAGTTTCGATGTTCAAAGAAACCTAAATATCCTAAACAATAAATAAAGATAAGCCAATTGCAAAACTAGATAGGAGTACGTGCAACACCAGGTACAAGACCATAGTGCTTCACTGTTGGTTAGACCATTATAAATAGCTATATTTTGAGAGGTATTATCACTTTTAGCCCTTGTCAAAAACAAATTATATTTGGTAGCTGAAAAAGCATATAAAATTTGTATAATTTTTTTATATAACATATAATATATATATATATATATATATACAAAAAATATATTTTTTTGGCTAATATTTTGAGTGCGACTATACAGTGTCATTTTCTCATATTTTGACCACATTTTTGTCTTGTGATTTTGTGTTTTAGATTAATTATATTATGTGTAATAATAGAATTGTGAAAAAATGGGCCAATTAGTTTTTGTTTCATCTGTTGGGCAAAAATCACGCCAAATTAGTAGCGGGGGCTTACAAGATGCCTTAAACAGCGTCGTTTTGATTAATAGGTTGAGATTCAATCTCAGCCGCTCAATCTCATCTAATCCGACAGCTAATATTCAATTCATAATCCATGTATTTAAAGCCTAAGGAGGTCGAAAATTGCCCCTATTTTTCCCATATTTTCTTCTTTTCTTCCTCTCTCTTCTCTCTGCCAACTCCACCTACCACCCCCGTCCGTCACCATCGAAAATCGTTCACCGGCTACCTCCAGTCACCACCAAACTTTCACCCCCCTAATCTAGACCTCCTCTTTCCGATTCCAACCTCCAAATCCTCTAAACCGTCACAAATCTCCATGAATTTAGCAAAAATTAAAATCCGAGCCGCCCCTCTTTTTCTCAAATTCGTGAAGTTCTAGATCGCTCCAAAACTCCAACAATAAATTCTCTGATCACCCTCACTGTCGCGGCTAACCAAACTACCATTGTTTCTCCGTCATAGCTCTTTTCAACCCAAAGTCACTTGTTTCTTCTTGGCATGACGTTAGGATCTATTGATTTAGTGTCTGGCAAAATGAAACATGCGCTGCGGGATCGGACAATCATCACTTAGCATCCTCGGCATCTTCTCGTTGCTCGATTCGACATCGAATGTCCCGGAGTTTGGTATAAACTCACATCTTAATCTTTTCCTCCGTGTCTCTGATTTTTCTGTTTCCTTGTTGTTTGATTATAGCCTGAGTTGTAGTAGTTTAAATTTTGTTTAGTGATCATTTAAGTTTAATGTTCAATCTAATTTTTTTTCCATCGTCATTTAACTTAATCGATTCTAATAGTTTTTCCCCACTGTTAATATGTAATGTGGTTCGATTTGAAATTAGTTTTAGGTTCAAGTTTGTAACTTTTTAGTTTCTAATTGTCGTGTTTAATTCGTGCACTAATTAATTAAAGTTTAGTATCTTGGAAGAATCACTTGTCAATTAGTTGCTCGTTTGTTTAAGCTATTGTTCTAGTTAGTTGTCTATTAAGTTGCTGAAATCTAGTGGTTCTAGTTCTGCTTTTCAATTTGTTTGTGGTATAAATGCAATTATCTATTTGGTGGTTTGTTCAAAATCAGCAGGGGAGGCTATTGATATTGGTAAAGTTGAGGAGTAGGAAGTAGAATGATGAGATTAGAATATAGAGTGGTTTGTTTTTACTATTTGAAGCATGCTAGAAATGCAACTACTTTACTTTGTGTCTAAATTTGGTGAAAAAGGACTTACCTTCTCCTATTTGGACAGTCCTTTGGATAGGTTTTGATAAAAAAAATATCAGTCCTTTTGGACAGATTTTTAGTGAACAAAAAAACTATCCAAAAAAGTGTTTTTTACTTCCTACTTAAAAGCTGTTCTTTCTTCATTTTACACACACACTAACACAATTTGAGACCATCTTTTTACATTAAAAAAATAATACAAAACTTGAGAGAAAAAACCAACAACTGAAACATCCAATGGTAAGCTGAAACTTAAGAGTTTTGGAGTGATTTTTTTGAGAGAAAAGAGCATTTAAAAAAGGGATCTTGAAGCTAGTTTTTGGGTTCTTATTTCACTAAAAAGTTGGTTGAAGTACTAAGGTTTATTCTGGTAAAAATAGCACGGTATAGCCAATTTTCGGACTGGTCATTCAAAAATAGCCAGTGCTTACCAAGTCAATGAAGAATAGCCACTATTTTGTTGCAACAGAGACCGGTCCAGCATAATATACTGGAGTTCGGTACATCTGTGTATGAACTCCAGCAAATTATGTTGGACCGGTATACTTTGCTGGCTCCGGCATAATATACTGGAGACTGGAGCACCGGTGCTCCAGTCTCCAGTATATTATACCGGAGCCAGCAAAGTATACCGGTCCAACATAATTTGCTGGAGTTCATACACAGATGTACCGAACTCCAGTATATTATGCTGGAGTTCTAGTGTACTTATGCTGGAACCCCATCATATTATGCTGGAGTTCCAGCATACTTATCCTGGAATTCCAGTATAATATGTTGGAGTTCAAGTATACTTATGCTGGAACTCCAGCATAATATACTGGAGTTTGGAGCACCGGTGCTCCAGTCTCCAGTATATTATGCCGGAGCCAGCAAAGTATACCGGTGAGTTCAGATTTTTCGGGTTTTGAACAGTATTTTCGCTCAGATTTATCTTTACATAAAAAGTGGCTAAATTTTGATTACTTTTGAAATTAGGCTATTTTTGAACGACCAGTTGTAAATCTGGTTATTTTTTAATTTCTCCCTTTATTCAGGGTTGTTCTAGATTTAATTCGTTGTTGTTTCTGCTGTTTTTGCTGATGTTTCTGTTTGTTTTCACTACTGTATTTTTTATTCTCTGCAATATAGGTAACCCTCAACCTTGTAATGCAGATTTTTATTGAATAACTGAAGATGTGATTTTGTTTTGGCTCTTTGGATCTGTTTGATATATTTTACATACAATGAATGCGTGTTCAGTTTGTTTAGCATGTTAAAGGGGTAGAAGTTAGTTAAATCCTCAAGTTTCCTTTTATGTTTGTAGCTGAGATCATGTTTTGCTAGTGATACTCGTTTGAGGAAAAGAAAAAGACATCACGGGTGTGTTTGGTATGAAGGAAAATATTTCCGAAAAATATTTTCCAATTTTTTCATATTTGATTGGCTTAAATGTTTTGGAAAACATTTTCCTTATCATCTCATTTTCCTCCAATTGGAGGAAAATATTCTCCTTATCAAGTTAAGGGAAATATTTTCCAAAACTCCTTCTCAACCTTCTTCACCCTCACCAACTCACCCCACCCCCTCTCCAAAAAAAGTTTTTTTTTTCAAATTTCAGTTTNGAGAAGTCAACCAGATGTTGACTAATGTGTTGGAGGGCTCGGATGTGAGTTTCGATGGTTCGGATAACTTTGGGAGGTGATTTGGGACTTAGGAGAGTGATCAGAATGGGTTTTGGAGGTCCGGAGTAGATTTAGTCTTGAATTGGCAAAATTGGATTTTTGGCTTTTCCGGTTGATAGGTGAGATTTTGATATAGGGGTCGAAATGGAATTTCGAGAATTACAGTAGTTCTCTTGTGTCATTTGGGATGTGTGTGCAAAATTTCAGGTCATTCGGACGTGAATTGCTTAGGTTTTTTATCAAAAGCGTAATTCGGAAGATTTTGGAAACTTAGGCTTGAATCCGATGTGTTTGGTTGATTCGATGTTGTTTGAGGAGTTTTGAAGGTTGGTATAAGTTTGAATAAGGTTATGGTGTATGTTTGTGTTTTTGGTTGAGGTCTCGGGGGCCTCGGGGTGATTTCGGATGGTTGACGAAGAAGTTTGAAATTTTGGTGAAGCTGCAGATTTGCTGCTTCTGTTGTTTCCGCACCTGCGGATTGGGGACCATAGGTGCGATGCCACAGATACGATGAAAAGGACCGCAGAAGCGAAAAGGGCCTAGGAAGGCTGGGGCCATAGAAGCGGCTGAGGAGCTACATCTGCGATAGTGCAGGTGCAGGGAAAAGGATCACAGAAGCGGAAAGTGGTCGTTTAAGTGATGATCGTAGAAGCGGTCCGTTGAGCACAAAAGCGGTACTGCAGAAGCGGGTAATTGGCTGCAGATGCGAAATCCCTGGGCCAGAAAATATAAATTGTTTCCTTCGCGATTTGTGAGCTATTCCACCATTTCTAAGTCGGCTTGAGAGCTTTTTGGACGATTTTGAAGAAGGGTTTCAAGGGATCTTCATTGAGGTAAGTATTTTGGACCTAAAACTCGTTTCTATGGTATTATTTCATGGATTAGGCTTGTAATTAATGGAATTTAAGGATCAAAAGTTTGGAGAAACTAGGGCTTGGTATTGGAGACCTAAACTTGAGGATTTGAGGGACCATTTGTGGTCGGATTTTGGTACTTTTAATATGTATGAATTCGTGGGGAGATGAGGAATCTATTGATGTGAATTTTAAAATATTCTGAGACGTGGGCCCCGGAATCAGGTTTTGGTAATTTCGGGATTTATGCTATAAATTGATTATTTTCGCTTGGGCTTCGTTTCCTTAGCATATTTTGACGTTGTGATTCTGATTTGGATAGATTCGACGTGAGTGGAGGCCGATTCGAGTGGAAAAGGCATCGTGGGCTAGAGTTTGGATCGGATTGAGGTGAGTAATGATTGTAAATGATGTCCTAAGGGTATGAAACCCCGGATTTCACATCGTTGTGCTATTTTGAGGTGACGCACATGCTAGATGACGAGCGTAGGGTCGTGCACCATTGGGGATTGTGACTTAGTCCATCCCGAATGACTATTTTACCGCTTATTTGACTGAAATCTATTTGCTACCATCATGTTTTGGGCTGAATGCCATAATTGGGCCTAGTGCCAACTATTTGAACCCTTAGTGGATCTTTATTGATATTTCCTCATTGTTTTGACTTTATACTTGAAATCAGTCATACTATAATCTACTTCTTTTCATAACTCAGCCATATTTACTCTACTTTAATTACTCTACTTTAATACTTAAATGACATTTCAAATGATATTTTGGGCTGAGCACTATGTTTTACTGTTGCCCGAATGGCCGTGAGATTCTGACTGAGTAAGGCCGAGGGCCTATGTTGTGATGAAACATTGATTACGATTATGAGGCGGAGGGCCTGAGATCTGTACGCCACGAGGTGGCTTGTTGATATGAGGCCAAGAGCCTACTGATGATGCCACGAGATGGCTTGATATTGTACTTGGGCCTTAAGGGGCCCCTCCAGGAGTCTATATACCGCCAGTGAGCGCGGGTACCCATTGTGATGTAAGATATAGCCCAAGGAGCTGGTATTGTTCTGAGATATTGCCCGAGGGGTGGACTTGTTGATATTATGTCCGAGGGGCAAACTTTTATATGTCTATATTTTTTATTGCCTGTCATTTTCCTGCTTAATTATTGAAAAGGCATTTCATGAATTTTAACCGAACTTAAATGATTTTTTTCATATCTTTACTGATTCATTATCTACTGGCTTTTACTGCTTCATTATAGCCTGTAATGTGCCTTACGTGATTTCTTGCTTTCAATCTTTATTTATGATTATTACTGACTGAGTTGGAGTACTCACTTTACTCTCTGCACCCCATGTGCAGATTCAGGCGTTGTTGATCCTGCTAGCGAGAGCTGAGAGCTCCCGGCAGACTTCGGAGTTCACGAGGTAGCTGTTTGGCGTCCGCAATCCCGTGTTTCTCCCCCCTTATCTCAATTCTTTTCCCTTATTAGTGGCTTTGTAATAGCTTTGTAGACTTTTCAGACTTATGTTAGAAGTGGTAGATGCTCGTGACTAGTGATACCCCGGTATCAGGTTGTGTTGGTTTTTATTTCCGCAAACTGTAACGTTCACTGCTTACTCTTGGATTATTTACTACGTTTTAGACTTAATTCTTATTGTTTAACTGCTTAAAACTGAAATAGGAAAAGGTCAGTTGGTCGTATCTTCACGAAAGGCGCCATCACGATCGGGTTCGGGTTTAGGGTCGTAAAAGATTTGTAGCTTCAAAATGTTTTGTTCTTTATAGTAAACCTAATGTTTCCATGGTATTTGAGTTTCTTATCTTTAGCATTAAGAGTATTACTAGTGATCTCATGTTTAGTTAGGATCAATTTGGCGAGTTGTTTGAATGCTTAAGGTGCTTATGTTACTAGAATGAGGTTGTAATTTAATTATTACCATGTTGGCACGGATAAGAAGAAATATTAATTATCTTTCAAAGAATAGTTTTTTAAAAGAGGAAGATATTGATGAGCAGTAAACCTTTTACAAGGAAGAGCAATTTAGTTTAGAATGGGACATTAACGTGGGAAGAAAGGATACACATGGCCCTATGAGTTTAATTTGAATTAATTAAGATTTGAGCTTAAAGTAAAAATGAATAAAAGTTGCGAAATAAAACATTAATGGGTTATTAGTTGATTTGTAGTTGCAAATTAGACTTTAATACGTATGGGCCAAGTGAGTTTAAATGGAATTTTTACATTCCTATGCCACATAGGAAACCTTATTACCCTCAATGTTTAAGGTTTGACTTAATTACGCTTAGTATACCAAATTATCAATTCTATACCATAATCAATTAAGGGTATAATTAATTGTATATTTTTTACTCCTTAATTAAAGGAATCTGCACGTTTCTCTCTCCTAACCCCTCAGTCCCACCCATGTTTTACCCATACCCACGTTCTTTTTACCATTTTCCATCTTCTGAAACCAAATCCTCCATTGACAGTCATTAAAAAGCTTTGAAGCTTTGAATTCAAATTTGGGTTTTCAAATATCATTATTTGTTTTGATTGAGTATTGTTGTAAATAACTGGGAATATATTTTGGATTTTATATCTCAATTTTGAGGGGTTTTGGTGAAGATTTAGATTTGGTTTTGGTTGAATTTCAGATTGAAACTCGAAGAAGAAGAAGAAGAAGAAGAAGAAGAAGAAGAAGAAGAAGAAGAAGAAGAAGAAGAAGAAGAAATGTTACAGAAATTATAGATAAATTGTAGATAAATTGTAGTTACAGTTGGATTGATCAGAATTTGAACTAAATACATCTTCGCTGCCGTTGACGGTTTCCGACGAGGAAACTCCTCTGTTCTCTACTTCTCCATTCTCCATTTCTTATTTTTACTTCTGTTTTACGTTTTCTATTTCTAATCTGAGTTTCTTGATTTCGCACACTTTATACACACATTTGATACAGCAAAAATATGAAGTAGTCACAGTTGGATTGATCAGAATTTGAAATAAATAAAAGAGATTTTTACATTCCTATGCCACATATATTTCAAATTCTATGGAAGTCTGATTTACGGTAATATCTATAAAACTCCTACATTTATCTATAAATAAACTACACATCAGTTTTAGGATGTTTAAAGCAATATTGTTTTCATAATTATCTACAAAATTACTACATTTATAATACAATTAAACTACAATCTATGTTGAAAAAATGTTGACTACAAAACTTTTCTCTTCATCTACAAATATACTACAAATCAGTTTAAGTATGTATAAAGCAGTATTATTTGTAAGGGTATCTACATAATTACTACATTTATACTACAATTAAACTACAATCTATGTTGAAAATCTATAAATTATCTATAAAATATCTACAAACTGGGTACATTGAATTTTAATATCCCAATTCTCATTCAATTGTAGCATAATTGAGATTTTTGACATAATTGCATTTTTCAGAAGATTTGTAGAAGTTTTAGTCATTTTTTTATTTGTAAAAACAGAAAATAAAGCATCTACAATCAGAATACAAATAATCTACAATTTATCTACAAAATATCTACAATTTCTGCAATATGTCGTCTTCTTCTTCTTCGAGTTTCAATCTGAAATTCAGTCAAAACCAAGTCTAATCTTCACCAAAACCCCTCAAAATTGAGATATAAACTCCAAATCATATTCCCAATTATTTTCAACAACACCCAATCCAAACAAATAATGATTTTTGAAACCCCAAATTTGAATTCAAAGCTTTCGAGTTTTTTAATGGCTGTCAATGGTGGATTTGTAGCGATTTTGATTTGTAGCGATTTTGATTTAATGACGAACTGAGATTTTGATTTGTAGAGATTGTAAGAATATCGAAGAACATAATTTGATTATAAATTGAAGATAAAGGATTTTCGTGATATGATTTGATCTCCTTTCCGTTTCAAAACTTGAATTTAATGTAGAATCAATCAATCCCAAGATTCTTTCCTGATTTTTTGTGCGTTATTAAGGGAAGATTCTGCCCTATTAATTCCTAATAAATGAATGATACAGAAATTGTAGGAAAAATATGGACTAGGCGGGTAATTTAGATACTATGCACATATTTGGTAATAAAATTTGATATATGGTATAGGAAGGAAAAATTCCCAATTTAAATCCAGCCAGGGCCATCTCATGATAAGCATGCCAGAAGGCCCATTTTTCTTTAAGTAATTTCAGCTGGCCAATTATGGAAAATTTTCATAAAACACTATCTTTTAGTAGTAATTAGACATCTATAGATATCATTTGCTATATTACGGATTATAGATACCTTTTATGTGGTTATAATATGTATTTGATGTATTTAAGCTATTGTATTCATAAATACAGTAGCAAAAATAGGCGTGAATCAGGGAAGTTCAGCTAATCAGTTGTTGTATTCGAGTGTATTCGACTGTATTCATGGAGTAAAACATGGGATTACAGGTGGACAGATTATTGTATTCGACTGTATTCACGGCGTGAAATAGGGGATTACACTATTTTTAAAATGGAAAGTGAATCAATTAACATAATAGACTCCTAATATAACTCAACAAACTCAATTATAACACACAAATTTTGTATTTTCAGTTATAAAAAAGATTCTCAACCGAAAAATACCCCAAAAATATAGCAATCTTCAGAGAAATTATATAATACATCTGAATACATAAATTATATTAATTAAAAAAACATATGAATACATTCATGGCATATAGCGAGACAGTAAATATAATGAAATACATAAAATACAATGAGATATATTGAAATACAATTGAAAAAAAAGACAGTGAATACAATGAAATACATGGAATACAACGAGATACATTGAATTACAATGGGAAAAAAAGACAATGAATACAATGAAATACATGAAAATACATTGAAATATATTAACAGAAAATCAAGTTGTTCAGCCCCAAACTCCGTCGTCTTTGTTCAAGAACAAACCCTAATTTCCGGCGAATCCGCCGTTCACATGAAGCCAGTAGTGAAAACGTGCCGCCTTGGCGCGCCTGAGCAGAAGCAACCGCCGACAAGACTGCCACAATGGCAAAACCACATAAAATTAAAATCATATCTTAGAATCAAGGTCAAGAAGACAGATCTTAGAAATACCGTGTCCCTTTATCTTTAATTGATTTTACAAACGGTTATAGAGATCTAGAAAAAAAAAAGGAAAAACATAGTAGATTTCATACATGAGGGGGTTAAGAAATTTTGTTACCTCGTTAAAGCAAGAGAAAATCGTAATTTACTGTTTTCATTATTGAATAGCGTATCAAAGTAGAGAGAAAAAGAAAATAGTATAACTGAATAGCGTATTTAGTGGCTTAGGGGTAGGAGGTAACCAAAATTAAATATTTTTCTATAAACATTAAAAGGTAGACAAGAGGGGTTGCTCTGATGGTAAGCAACCTCCACTTCCAACCAAGAGGTTGTGAGTTCGAGTCTGCCCAAGAGAAAAGTGGGAAATTCTTGGAAGGAAGGATGCCGAGGGTCTATTTGGAAATAGTCTCTCTACCCCAGGGTAGGGGTAAGGTTTGTGTCCACACTACCCTCCCCAGACCCCACTAAGTGGGATTATACCAGGGTTTTTTTTTGGTAATTAAACTTTCTATTTACCAGGGAAAAAAATATTTACAAGAAATATTAAACCCATACATTTCATCCTACTCATCTATGTTCCTCTCCCCTCCTTTAACATAAAACATATATCTATCTATTACAAGGATACCAATTAAGACTATTCAACCTTGTTTCTATGTATTTGTTGTTTCTGCAATGAATTTCTTGCACAATCTTCTTGCATAGTACTTCCCATCCCCTTGATTTTGCCTGAAAGATTCTTGTATTTCGTTCTTGCCACACATAGCACATTGTTGCAGCTAGTACCATTTTGAACAGTTCTGACTTTGGATTCCTTTGCTTGGTTATGTGTACAGCCCATATCAGCTCTTGCTCCCATCCCTGTATTCCCCTACTAACTCCTTGCCAAACTAACATACTGTTCCATAGTGCTTTTGAATATTCACACTCAAAAAACAGGTGTTGAACACTCTTTTTCCCTGTTCTGCAAAGTACACATTCATCCTCTACATGCATACCCCATTTCTGCAGTCTATCCTTCGTGTATAGCTTACCATGAGCCGTCAATGTTAGCAGGAAAATCCATCATGGACTTCCTGCATTCTGGCATACTACTTTTTTCCATCTCACCTTTTCAAATGTGCCTCGTAGCCTATGATATATTTCTTTGATACTGCACTTCTTGGTTCTCTTAACATCTTCATAGTTGAATCTTGCCTTAACAAGTGTTTCCTGTGCTTTTAGTATCTTTACCACCATCCATGATGCTTGCTTCACCTGAATACCCTATACATCTCTTCCTTTAATGTAGTAACTATGAATCCATTGGATCCACAACTTATTCTTTTCTCTGCATAGATCCCAGTAATGTTTGCATATTGCTGTTTTATTCCACGGTGCTATATTCATGATGTTAAATCCTCCTGTTGTCTTGGGCATGCAAATCTTCTCCCATGCTAATAGAGCTTTCTTAGACACATTGTTCTCACCTGTCCATAGGAAACTCCTACAAATAGCCTCTATTAGCTTTGTAATCTTTTTAGGCAACACAAATATTTGTGCCCAGTATGTCTGCACAGAAAATAGGACACTTTTGATAAGCTGTATTCTTCCAGCATAGGATAGAAATCTGCTAGTCCATGGTGTTATTCTTCCTACTATCTTCTCAATCAAGGGTTGGCATTGTGCTATGGAGA